TCGAAGATGGATCTTTTCTGAATCTCTGAGTTTCACACTTAGTACACAGCATAATATCACCCTGGCACAACCTGACATTCCTCTTCATATCACAGTCCTCACATTTCATGATTATCGATATAATATTCAGCAAAAATGTGATAATTTGGAATATACAGGAGCGCGAAAATCACATGCAACTCACTTACTACGCCACCAACGTAAAAAAAACAAACAAAAAAAAACAAAAAAACATCGTATATAAAGAAATTACAGTAAAGGACTACAGAGGGCGACATTTACATGCTAACACAATGTAAATATATAGAAGTGGTTTCCCTAACAATGGACACATATACCACCATCATAGCAACAATTAGTCAACAAGGTACACGTGGCTGGCTAGATCAAACTTGCAAGCCCAAACCAACAAACAAACACGAACTATTTGCATTTCTCTCCAGCAAAATTCAATCTAAACACTGTCCAGAAACAAATATTCATAACATCTGGCCACAGCATGTAATTACGAAGAGAAAGACATAAAAAAAGTGTTTTATATTTTATATTCATATGATACACTTTAAAATTTGTCATGCATGTTTTTTGTTTGCCTATATGTTTACCTTTCTCGACCCTGGTATTAATAAATAGAGAAACAACCATTCGGTGATAGAAAATGATGCCCAAGAAACTGCTTAGAAACTGAGCTGGCTAATATTAGGTTTTTCCATGGCTGCTCACAGGGAGCCCAGGAACTATGATGAAGTGTACGCAGTCCCTATGAGTTGGAGGGGGTATCGGCTGGTATCTAGTGTAAGAAATAGACAAGGGATGAAGGCTCCAGTCAGCTCACGATTTTTAAACTCGAAAAAACAGTCAAACAGAATGAAAAATAAAATCTAAAAAAAAATGCCAGCTTGAAGAATATTGGTTGCTCTTTCAAATTTTGCCAAAGCCATACCTATATTTGACCGATATCTTCAGATTAAATCAAGAAAACTACACAAATTGACTCCATTTATGAATAATTAACGGTTGCCCCGAAACCACGGCAGAGTTGGAGGCGTGGCCTGTTCAGAATGTGTCAACAACCAATCACAAGACTAGTTACGAAACCAGTAACCAGTCTCCTTTGTACGGAGTATTTGCATCATTCCCAAAAATTGGCCTTAGCCTCTTTGACTCAACGTTTTTTTGTAAAAGTATAATTGTTATTAAGTTGCACATTTTACAGTTTTTGTAACACAAAACAATTACATGGTTACGATGTGTTGCTAATCTTGGCAGTACTAATACACACTCACTTGATTTTGGTTGTCATGGAAGGCTTTAAATGAATTGCCAATTTTGAACAAAACCTGAACCATCTTTTTAGGGGATCTGAAAGTGAAATCAATGTTATTATTTTTAAATTACTTCATCATATATACAGTATCATTTATTTATATGCATTGTTTTTTTCAATGAAATATGCAGGAATCAGAAACCGTTGTTTGAAGGTTAGGTATTAAAGCGGGAGGGTCGTCACCTGCGCACGCGCTGAAATTGAGTCCCAAGCGATGATAACAACACATGCAAAGAACACAAAGGCTCATTGGTAGACGCTTGTTTGTAAACAATGACACGCTATTGCCACCTAACTTATGCGCAGGTGACGACTCCCTCGGTTTAACATTTGTAGTAATCCTTGAGTGATTTAGACCAGAGAATACAGAGAATGTGGCAGAGCGCCACCACCGGCATGTAAGTGGTTATATATATTACGCATGAAGATAGGGGGTCAAAGCATGGCGGATTGAAAAAGTTGTGAATGTTTTGGTTTTTACGTCTGTTGTGCACTGTAGTAATCGTAACGAGAAGTATGCTGTGGTTTTGCGTCAAACTGTCAAAAATTAATACTGGACATCAAATGGCTTCGCCGATAATTCATTTATGTCATAACTTAAGGTTATTCCATGGTGTGATCAACGATCGTGTTTATATGATCCACATTGCTTGCCGTCAAGTGAATGCTTTCATCTGTAGATCATCTTCTACGTTGTACACGCCGGTCAGCAAAGGAGAGAGGGTGCCCTTTATCAGTCGACCAGACATTGATATCAGCGGTATTATGAATAATATCGATTTAATGGAAAGGAATGTGAAAGCCAGGAATACGTTGATTGATTTCAAAGCTTTGGTAAGCAACTATTAAGAGTTATGATAATTCCCTGTCTATGGAGGTAAAACAATTACCACCATGGCCCACTCAAATGTGGATAATATATAAATTAAATGAAGCGACAGTTTTATTAACAAATAGCATCATGGTATGTACGCATCCTGATCAATAATAATAATAATAATAATAATAATGCCTTTATTGAAATCATATCCTGTTTAGGATCTGGATTTTTAAAATACAATAAAGTTTCAGATACATCATTGTGTAAGCGCATGCACTACTAATTGATAGAACACTTAATATAGTAAAATAATTTGCATTCTATACAAACACGTACACCTTTCAAATGTAGGCATCTCTATGGAAGGATATGCAACAGCACAAGGTTGCAGTTGACCAACTTGAAATTCAGAAGAAAAAAGTGAATCAGTTAGTGAAAAAGGTCAAACAGGTCAGTGACTAATATACCAGTATATAAATCTTTGTTGATGGTCAAGTTAAAAATTCATCAAAATCAAGCATTTCTGTCATATAAGAAAACCTAATCTGGGTCGTGCATGGTCAAATTTTGTTTAAATTCTGTAGATTCACCATCATGCAATCAAAATGGCTGACTGGTGGCCATTTTGTTTTAATGTTTTTTGTTCTGAGCCATATCTCTGACATGCATCAATGCATTTGTATCACAATCGAATTCAAGCATCTCTGCAACTCCTCAACTGGATCTCTTTGTGCATGTCAGATTTAATTCAAACTTTTTGTTTTTCAGATCAGATTCAAAATGGCCGACTGGTTGTCGTTTTGTTTTTACTAATTGCTGTTCCACTATCGTATATATCTTGTATTGCATATACAAAAGTCATATATTCATTTCAAGTGTTGTTTCAAAATGGCCGACTTGTTTCAGTTTTCTTTACTATGACTTGTTTAATGTTACTTACAGGAAAACTCAACTTCTGATGAAATACAACAAATGAAAGATGAAAGTAAACGGCTACGAAATGAATTGAAAAAAATTAAAGTAAGCGTAAAGATGGTCTGGTTTTTACCAGCATGACTGTCACCAGAACGCTGATGTACACAATTCTACTGTTTTACCAATATAAACCGTGATGTGATTCTTCCGATGCATACAGCTTGCTTTTCAACTTTTCACACTCGTTCACTTTTTTGTAGTAACTATAAAAATTTCTATTCTTACTGCAATTGCGCATATGATAACTAAGATATTAGTAACTACCTAATGCTGGTGTTAACATGTGGTACTGCTAAAAACAGCATTTCTATTTATTTTAAGCCTAGCTACCATACATTATCTCTGGTATTAAGGTCAAGTATTGTTTTTTTTTCACAAACTAGACAATTTAAAACCTAGTGAAATTTCTCTGCAACCACTAAAAATAAACTTCCATATCTATTCTATATTTTTATAGAGTTTATATTCTAATGTATCTGAAGAATTATACAATATTGTACTGAAACTCCCAAACTTTACACATTCTAACACGGTAAGTACACACCTTTCCCTCAGTTGGTATATATCACTATATAAAAGCTAACATTTTATAAAAAATCTGATCTTGAAGATGCAATAAAATTGTAGCAGAAGAACTCCTCTGCATTTTTACCAAGTTGACAATAATGAATGCAAATATTCAAACACGAAATTAACGTCAAAGGGAAAGTGCTGCATTTTTTTCCCATGGCTATATATTAACTCACACTGAACTAAAGTCTTCTTTGTGATACCACCTAAGTAAACACCTGGTCACATGTATCAAGACATATATTTATGATAATATGCAAATTAGCTAGAAATTGAATTTTGAATTGATCATGTATTTTTTGTTGACTAAAAATTCATGCATAACCAGCTGTCTAGGTGCTGTTCGCATATGCATAGCCAGATGTCTAGGTGCTGTTCACATATGCATAGCCAGCTTTCTAGGTGCTACCTGTTTGCATATGTACAGCCAGCCAGCATTTTGGCTCAACCTGAACCACATCTCAATGTAAGAATGAAAGAACGCTCACATTTCAGTGCTTGATTAGTGTTATTTACTTCATAGCCATCTGGTATGACTGAACTTATAACACATAGATTTGGTGATCAGCTAAAATTACAACCATGGATCAAAAACCATGTGGTTCTGGGAAAAGTCTTGGATGTCCTGTCCTTTGAGTAAGTGTTTAAATATTGTTATGCACATAATATATTTTAGTGGTTTGATTTTAACAGACCAACTGTGTGTTGGTCATTTTATTTTTGTGCGAGAGATTGCACTATCCTGTCGTGTGATATTTATGTCATTCTGTTTTGTGGTTGGATCTGTAATATGGCTTATAATTTTACATAAACCACATAATTTTAGAATCTACAAGGGTGAGCCAAAAAGTAATGCCATTTTGTTCAGAACAGGTATAATTACCAACACAGGAACATATACCACACATTAAAATGAAGCTGGTCCTCTGTGGATCACATCCCATGTTCCACCTTTGAATGAGAGCATGTATTTCTGCCCTGTCAAATTCTGTTGACTGTTTATTGAACCACTTCTTCACTACAGTTTTCACTTCCTTGTCACTGGAATAATATTTGCCTTTCAAACCCACTTTCATGGGGCTGAAGAGATGATAGTCTGAAGGTGCTAAACCTGGTGAGTAATGAGGATGTGGTAAAGTTGTCCACCCAAATGAGTCCCCCTTGTCCAGATGCTTGTGTGTGGTTGATTATTCGCATGCAGATAATTGTCGATTGGCAAGTTGGATCTTACTCGATTCTTGCTCTGAGCCTCGTCAGGGTCTCAATGTACATTGTGTAGGTCTCATAACTTATTTTTTTCCTTTTGGCTAGTTATCAACCAGAATGACAACTTGAGCATCCTAATTTCCTAATGACCTTTGCACTCACAGTTGTCACTTTTTCATCTTTCAGACAATGGACCAACCAGCATACATTGCTATAATGTAAAGTATTGTCATCAAAGACATTTTGTAATCATCTGTGAATGCCTACAGGGGTTTCTGTCTTAGCAACAAGAAATTCAATCAGTGCTATTTATTTTTATACAACTCTAAGGGGGGGTAGCCAATTTGAATTTTTCTTACAAATCTGAAAACCTAAAAAGTAAGAAACAAAATATGTCAATACGTAAATGATATAATCATCCCTGAAACTACGAAAATTTTCAGTTATTCTTATCAAAACTTAATAATAATAATAATAATAATAATGAATTTATTGCATCCTTAGAAATAATTTCCATTGGTTGACAGCAATAAAATGTTAGTAATAAAGTACAATACATATAAAACTAAAGTAAAAGTAAAATGTCAGTTATTGTTATTTCGGATTTCAAATATGAAATAAAGTGAATTGCATAACTTTTTGACTCACCCTAGTAATATTTTTACCATTTAACATGTCAGTTCCTGAGATTTTATGATGTATCTTATGCATTTAGTTTATTAATACCTATATATGTGTGCTATAGACTATAAAGTTGCCGCAAATTGTTGCGATGAACGATTTGTTTTAATAGTGCCATATTTCTTTTGTTTTGCAGACATTCTCATGTTCAACCTGGTGTATGTTATCTCAAAAAGGAGGCTGCTTTACTTGAGCAAGGTCTGCTGTTTTGGATGTCTGACAAATTAAAAGAAAATAATTGTTTACATCTCTGCTGTCCAGAGATGTTCAAGCCTATTATAGTGGTAAGAACTTTCGCATTGCATGCTGGGTATTGTAAATTTTATTGTAAACTACTGTAAAAATTGTAAACAAATACTGACAACATCTTGAGGCAACATTTTGTGTACTTTCCATTGTCTGAAAAAAAATTTGGTTTGATTTTGTTGTGAAAGGTGAAAATATTTGCCTTTGAAGTCAAGGGCTAAAGATCAAAGGGTTGAATGCACAACATCTGTACTGCAGGCGGCTTTTGTTTCGCATTGTTGTTGTAGGAGGGATTTCTTTATGACTAAAAATAACATAGATGCTGCCATCATTTATTTCAAAGATTATAAACAATGATAATTACTAAGGAAAACAAGACTAGAATTTAAATAATCCAGGGTGACAGCAGAGTTGACTTTTCGTGTAACTGTTAGCGATGAGTGATACAACAGATTCTTTTAGTCATCTTCTGATAGAATAAGTTTACGGAACGATTTAAACATATTGCCCATATGTTTACAAATGCAGTTGTGTATAGTTCACCTTGCTTCAGTGTTTGTAAGTAACAAGAATTGGAAAATAACTATGCGATACTCACTAGAAGTTAGTTAATCCACAAGCATCTGAGGGAATTACCTAAAATGCTCAAAAGAGCCGTGTTTAAGAATGTGTATTTAACAATATAGTAAGCTTTCAAGTAATTTAACGATCACACATCCTAGTACTTTATGGGCCAGGGTATTGTCCTATAACACTGATCATTTCCAATTAAATCTTACGTACCTTGATTTTTGATCTTTGATGGGTGAAAAGTCAAAACCAAAAAAAAATGTTCTTTTCCTCATGGTTTGTAAATTGCAGAACTATGAGCTACTAAATGACAATATTGACATTTTTTTTATGTTGTGTTTTTATTAGGAAGGATGTGGATTAGAACTGGAGGATCCATCACAGGTATAGTCAACCCTTGAATACCAAAGTCCACATTTGTCTTCTGTATTAAATAAATCTGCTTAACTTTTTGCATATTTTTATGTATATTTAATTATAGAAAGAAATTATAGAAAAATTTATAAAAATATGCAAAATTCTACACTTGAGAAAAGTTAGATGTTATCATTATTACATGACTTCTGTCTTGCCTGAATTCAATAAATCCTGGCGTTTGCCTACCCTTGCATACAGTCTCTTGTTTATTTGTTGTATTTTTCTTAATAAAATAAAATGTTGTAAAATAAAATAAATTTTGTTATCATGTTTTAATATTTGTATTCAAACTGTATCTTGAGAGAAACAATATAATACATGATTTATCGTAAAATGAAAAATTTGCAACTATTATAACAGTATTTGTTCAACGAAATGTTGAAAACTTGAATGTGCTCAGGTCTGTGCAAGTCTGACATGCCTGTTATACACTATGATGTTTATGAGTATTAGTGCTATCAGCTTGTAAATAAACTATGAGTTTCTGTAAACATAGGTTATGCAAGTGGGTAACAGGACACATTAGCATAGCATAAACACTTGCCTGGGGCAAATGAATTGGGCCTTTAAAGGCACAACATTGGCGCCGTGGGCGGCTTTTGTCTTGTGTTGTTGTAGGAGAGGATTTTTTAAATTAACAAAGATGATGTAACATACTAAATATCACATCAATGTGATTACGATAAATTTGATTTTTATGTCACTTTTTGTTAAATTAAACTTTTTAAACTCCAGGATAGTAAGAGTAATTGAGCTCGTTTCCATTTGTATTCAATTCAAGATGGCTGCCAAACCATGTGACTTAATGATATGTAAACTCTAATGCCCTTGGTAGATAAATACTAAAATGCAATTTCAGATCAATGTGCCTAGTGGTTCTGAAGAAGGAGATTTTGATTTTTTTTTATAGAAAATCCATTAATCGTAACATTACCACTTAGCTTTTGATTTGTTAAATGGATAGCACAGCAAGGAATCAGATTTCTTCAAACCTCAGATAAGTTTCCAAATTATCACTTTTGTTTTTTCTTTAAACCAATCTGTCCAGTGAACCATGTGACCAATCATAAAAATGCATGATAAGTACCTGGTACCACAGCACAATGAACTGATTTAATTTTACGTTATTTGAAATTTATATACTTTCTATCTCCTGATAGGTTTACTCTGTTATCGCTAGTGATGATGTTCTACATCTTGCTGGAGTCTCCATTATGTCATTGGCTGGTAAGTGGTGTATAGCACATTTATGTAGTGAATAATTATATCACTGAATAAAACCGGCCTTGATTTCATCATGGTCATGTTATTTAAAACATAAGCACAAAGCTTGTGACACAGCTGTTGCAAAGAGTGTACAGTCTTGGCTGCAATGGAGATTCTGTTGCTGAATCAGATCAGATTATAACACATGCTGCTAGGGAAGTTCTAGAATGCCCATAGCCACTATGACACAGCAATGGCACAAGTTGTGGTTACCTTCACCATAGAGTGAATTGAGATCAGGAAGTCATCATGCACTTGTTAACAAGGAAATATTCGTAGCAAGTGTCATGTATAGATACATGATTACACGATTCATCATCTCTCATTTCACCTATACGTGAAGGATCAATGAGACAGGCTAACATTTCGGTATCTATAAGTCTGGTGTCAACATACTGGTCATGGTGAGCATGCACAATACTGACTGAAAACCTTTAAAAATGTTTTACGTTTGTAGTATCAAGAAACAAACAAATGTTGTTACAATGCAAGTATTTCCATCTATTGATGTGAGATAAATAATATCCAAGATAATTAATATATTGTGCAGAAAAAGTAATTTATATAGCAAGAATATTTAATTTGCATATGAATACCAGACCCCCTAGGATCGACAAAATTAATCATTTGAATGTTACATGGCAGTTTCAGTTGAAACAAATTGTTCTAAATTGTGTTAAATGTCCTAATTTTGAGTGATTTGAATGTTTGTATGACAATCCTGTTATTTGATATTAATATTAATATTTATTATGTTATTTTCTCACTTTAAACATATGCGCATTGTGAATGAACTTTCTTTGTAGGTGCATGTGTATTGCTTACTTAGCACCGATATTGTAAAACTTTTTTATTTTTTTTCATTAGCTAATTACATGATGGCTGTTTTTGAATATGACAGTTTACCGCATAGGTATGGTGTACATTTTCTCGTCATTGAAATCGATTCTGTTGACATACTGTGAGCCGATTAATTGCCAGTGTCACTGCTAGAAATTTTCACGAATTGACGACTTTATGGCATTCGTCTCTGACACTTCTCATCATAAGACCCCAGAGAAGTTTTCACTTCTTCAAAATTTCATGATTTTCACTGAAATTTGTCTCGGTTGAAATTAAACAGCAATTTATCCTTACTTTAGCTCAACAGCCATGTGTCTATTTTCCTTTCCCTTGTCCAAAGTTATTTAATATGATAATATTTTTTTTTTGATTTTTTTTTATTCTCAGGTGCTTTACATTTGGTCGTAATTATGATCCATCAAAAGGTAGAATATTCTTTTATTTTGATATTCTAGTTTTTGTTTCAAAAGATATTATCGAAGTCTTTCAAATCAAAGTGACAAATTCATCACATTTTTTTTCAAAATTACAGAAATAAATCATCAATTAGTTTCATGAATATTTTCTCTTCTAATAAAACTTTTCATTCTCATTTTTTGGGGAATTTCTTCAATTCAACAATTTCATTTCAGAGAGCAAGACATTCTCAAGTTTATGCAGTATGCAGCAATCAAGTATGGTGAGATTTTAAGAAAAATTGAATCGAATATTTAATTATACATGTATGCCAAAGTAATAAACTGTAGAATGCTAGTTTAATGTGGTTTCCATGGCATTGGTTTCCATGGCATTGGTTTCCATATAACATGTTTTTTCATCAAACCTAACAAATTGATTGAGCTTGTGGCACAACTGCTTTGGACTGCAAATTATACTGCAAACCACAGATGTACATTCAAATTTATTTCTGTGAGCAATTGAATATTGTGGATCACACTTTGTGGTTTTCAAATAATTGACCTACATTAGTCGCCAAGCTTTTTGTTTGAAAGGCTAATCTTAAATTTTGAATTAATTCTAAATATGCCTCCAGTACTCTCAGCACACTAAAGTACTTTCTAAGCTTTCTTTCATTCGATCTTAGACTTTCATTCATGATAGTGCGAACATTTTTTGAAATCTAAAAGTAATTTACCATTAGTGACTGATAAATTTATTTACAGGTCCAGCTGTGCGGCATAACTCATAATTCATTTGATGAAAGCAATCACTTGATGGATGAATATTTATTATTTCTACAGGATCTTTATTCTCAGTTAAACATACATATGCGGTTAGTATCATTCTATATACCTATATACCATGTGGTGACAATACAAATAAAATTTTAGAAACACCACCAGAAAGTGTGGAATTATGTTCATATCAATAAACCCACACAATTAGTGAGTGTTGTATTGGGGCAGCCAATTTGCAAACTTGCTACCGAATTGGCTAACTTCTTAGGTTTTGACTAAACAATTGGCTTTAGAATTTCGCTGGTGCCGACTTGTGACCGCGTCCACTCTCGGTGAGTGAAAAAAATGGGAACATTGGAAGATTTGGTAATATGTTGCATTGCCAGCCGGTGCACAGTGCTGAACATAAGTTAATGCCTAATGTCTGTATTTTCCCTGAATCGCCATCAGAATCTGTAATAGCTCAGTCATTAGAAGCTCTACCTGCTGCAGTTGATGTGAGATTTGAACGCCTTCCTTGGCCAACTTTTTTAATAGTTGATGAAAAATTCTATCTGCTTGTCAACTCCAGCCTATGCACCTTGAATAAAGCTGCATAATCTTAAAGGGCAAGTCAAGCCTAACTAATTTGCATCAGTATTTCCCATGCTATAGATGAAATCATTTTCTCAATTTCTGACAACAGATTCTATGTTGCCATACTTTACCCATAATCCTTTGCTGAAGAATCAAGATGGCGGTCTACATAAATTGATGAAAAATTGAATATCTAGAGAATGAGAAGTGATATAAAAAAACTGTAAATTGCATGTTCTTACATTTGCCAAGCTCTTTGGTCGGGGAGCATTATGTTGTTAGCCTTGACTTCCCCTTCAAATTTGCTGCTTAATCTGATTTACAATATCAGTGTTACAAATTATGTTGCAGTTATCTGTGGAAATTACACTCTTATTATTTATATTACAAAATAATTTTATGATAATGCCAAAAATGTGACTTTATATGGTTGTTTACATGTACTTTTAGAACGGTGAATGTACCTATCGGTCAGTTAGACCCATGTATGTACAGAAAATCTGCCATACAGATGTGGTTACCATCACAGAACAC